TCCATGAAAGCCTCTTGCAGCTCCGTCGGGTCGTCGTGGGGGCCTCTTGCGCCGTGTTCGGGGGCCTCTTGGGCCGTCTTGAGGCCCTCTTAGGCTAGCTTGAGCCGTCTTGAGGCTCTCTTGAGAGGCTCTTTAGCGGTCTTGGGGCATCTTGAGCCGTTTCGTTGTCGTCTTGGCTGTCTTGGAAGCCTTATTGGGGGCCATCTTGGCTCTCTGGAGGCCGCACAGACCGCCAATGCAATTTCAGAAGGGGCGGTTTTCGAGGGGTGCGTGCGGGAAGGGGGGGGTCGGTCTTTGAAAACTCTAAAGAAAACCTCGCAGACACTGAGCAAGCATTCTAACACGCCCACTCCGTGCAGGCACGGTGCCAGGTGACGGGAAGCGCTTGTGGCGTGGACCGTTTGTTGATGGTAAACAGTTAAAAATTCATTCTGGGGTACCGGTTGCACCGGGAAACTCGCTGGCGGATGACGGGAAGGCACCAGAACGCCATTCTTAGGACTTCGCAGAGAACCAACGTAATTGTTGCAACTGTGTAATCCTGAGTCCTTCCAAAACGCAATTTCTGGCACGTTGATGGTGGGAACCCCTGCAACTCTTGAAATTGTATAACACGAGTGTGCGCCGCGCAAAGGCGAGAGCCACATTTTGAAAAGGCACCGCCCGCAATCCGTGAAACTCTTGACATGTTTTGAGATGCGTGTGCGCCGCGCAAAGGCGAGAGCCACATTTCGAAAACCACTCGCCCTCAATCCGTGAAACTCTTGCAATTGTTTAAAATGCGTTTGCGCCGCGCAAAGGCGAGAGCCACATTTCGAAAACCACTCGGCCTCAATCGGTTAGACTTTTTGCAATGATTTAGCGAGTGTGCGCCGCGCTAAGGCCAGAGCCACATGTTCAAAAGGAAACGCCTTCAATCCGTGAAACTCCTTGCAATTGTCTACAAAGAATGTGCGCGGCGCTAAGGCGAGAGCCACATTTTGAAAACGACCCGCCCTCCATCTTTGAAACTGCTGCCATTTTTTGAGCTTCAGGGTCATAACTGGTGAGGGAGAAGTCTCGGGCGAAACGCCCGGCCCGCCCTGAGAACTGGCCTCGCGGTGCGACAGGGAGAAGTTATTTATGAGGAAAATTAATAGAGGAGGATGAGGAGGAGGAGGAGGAGGAGTTGGAGGAGGAGTTGGAGGAGAAGTTGGTGGAGGAGGAGGTGGAGGAGCAGCAGGAGGAGGAGGAGAGGAGGAGTACAACACGCTCCCAGCGCAAGAATGCCCACATAGAGCATACGCCATGTAAACAATATGATCCACTTACACTGAACATAAAGCGTACGCACACCCTGCGTCCCTCCCGCCCGCCCGCCAGGCAGGCACCCTGTACGCACACCGCACCCCCCCCCGCCCACCCGCCAGGCACAGGCCCCTGCACACTCCCGCGCGCACACGCGCACACACGCACACATCCTCACACACACAGGCACACGCACACACACGCACTCGCATGCACATGCACACACGCACACACAAGCACAGGCCATGCGCAATACCTGACCAAAGCGACCGCAGGCAACCACCAACACACGAGCTACCAACGGCGATCATCTGGGTACTTAGGGGAACCCGGCGACTGCGTCCATATGCACGCATGCGCGTTTTCTGCAAATCCATGCGCGCGTGCGCACGCAAGCTCGGAGAAGCTCATTGCGGCCCAGTCGACGGGCGAGGGCAGCAGCTCGACCGCCATGCAGCAGGGCACCTGCAGCAGCTCGACCGCCATGCAGCAGGGCACCTCCACCAAGATCTCCTTGTGAGCTGCCCGCCTTCGGCGGCTCGGGCCCCGGCGCCGTTCACCGGAATGCACGGTCATCAGCCATAATTAGACCCCACACAGACCGGCGATGCGGGTTCGATGAACCGACGGACGTTGCCGCAGAATTTGTGTGTTATGCATTGTTGGCATTTGTTCCCATACATGATGCTCATCTTCCTCGTGCTGGCTGCGGCGAAGGCCCCTTAGGCCATTGCGCCATGTTTGCCATTGTTTTAGGCAAGGCTCCTACCAGGGCCGCTCTATGGGGCCGCTCTATTCACATGATCGAGCTGCTGGTTGCCCTAACCAGTAGGAAAGGGTCAGAGGGGCAAGAGCCGCGGGCGTACGCAGCGCTGCGTGCACTGCCCTTGCATGCAGCCTCCCGCCCGTTTGATTTCGAAGTATGCAGCGGCGGCACAAATCTCAGATGTAGCGGCGCGCGCAAGTTAGTTTAGGCATATAGTCGTTTTGGCAGGCGCAACCAGCCAGTTTCCGTGGAGCGGGTTCAGTAGGGACCAGCGTGAAGGGACCAGGCCAGCGTCTCCAAATCCGGCGGCCACGCGCCTCGCGTGCGACAGATCAAGCGACCCAAAAGACTGCCCAAGACGTCTCCAAGAGGCCCTCCAGGAGAGAACCGAGGAGGCCAACACCATTCACGTTCCTTCGGTGTTTGAAGGAATGTGAGGTTCTGGCATGTTTGGGTTTCCGACCGCCTAAGACAGCCCACGAGGCCTCTCTGGGCAGTTGTGTTGCTTTCTTGGAGCGCTTCACGGCCGCCTTGGGGCCCTCCTTGGGAGTCTAGTTGGCGATTTGTGGGTTCTCTTGGGCCGATTTGGGGCCTTTATTTGGGGGCCCTTGGGCTGCCTTGAAGCTGTCTGAGAGGCCTCGTGGAAGCCTCTTGGGCCGTCGGTGGTGATCGAAAACCCGATCAGCGAGAACCTCACAATATTTCAACTACCTAAGTCAAAACAAACGTGGTGGCCCCCTTAGGATCTCCATGAAAGCCTCTTGCAGCTCCGTCGGGTCGTCGTGGGGGCCTCTTGCGCCGTGTTCGGGGGCCTCTTGGGCCGTCTTGAGGCCCTCTTAGGCTAGCTTGAGCCGTCTTGAGGCTCTCTTGAGAGGCTCTCTAGCGGTCTTGGGGCATCTTGAGCCGTTTCGTTGTCGTCTTGGCTGTCTTGGAAGCCTTATTGGGGGCCATCTTGGCTCTCTGGAGGCCGCACAGACCGCCAATGCAATTTCAGAAGGGGCGGTTTTCGAGGGGTGCGTGCGGGAAGGGGGGGGGTCGGTCTTTGAAAACTCTAAAGAAAACCTCGCAGACACTGAGCAAGCATTCTAACACGCCCACTCCGTGCAGGCACGGTGCCAGGTGACGGGAAGCGCCTGTGGCGTGGACCGTTTGTTGATGGTAAACAGTTAAAATTAATTCTGGGGTACCGGTTGCACCGGGAAACTCGCTGGCGGATGACGGGAAGGCACCAGAACGCCATTCCTAGGACTTCGCAGAGAACCAACGTAATTGTTGCAACTGTGTAATCTTGAGTCCTTCCAAAACGCAATTTCTGGCACGTTGATGGTGGGAACCCCTGCAACTCTTGAAACTGTATAACACGAATGTGCGCCGCGCAAAGGCGAGAGCCACATTTTGAAAAGGCACCGCCCGCAATCCGTGAAACTCTTGACATGTTTTGAGATGCGTGTGCGCCGCGCAAAGGCGAGAGCCACATTTCGAAAACCACTCGCCCTCAATCCGTGAAACTCTTGCAATTGTTTAAAATGCGTGTGCGCCGCGCAAAGGCGAGAGCCACATTTCGAAAACCACTCGGCCTCAATCGGTTAGACTTTTTGCAATGATTTAGCGAGTGTGCGCCGCGCTAAGGCCAGAGCCACATGTTCAAAAGGAAACGCCTTCAATCCGTGAAACTCCTTGCAATTGTCTACAAAGAATGTGCGCGGCGCTAAGGCGAGAGCCACATTTTGAAAACGACCCGCCCTCCATCTTTGAAACTGCTGCCATTTTTTGAGCTTCAGGGTCATAACTGGTGAGGGAGAAGTCTCGGGCGAAACGCCCGGCCCGCCCTGAGAACTGGCCTCGCGGTGCGACAGGGAGAAGTTATTTATGAGGAAAATTAATAGAGGAGGATGAGGAGGAGGAGGAGGAGGAGTTGGAGGAGGAGTTGGAGGAGAAGTTGGTGGAAGAGGAGGTGGAGGAGCAGCAGGAGGAGGAGGAGAGGAGGAGTAGAACACGCTCCCAGCGCAAGAATGCCCATATAGAGCATACGCCATGTAAACAGTATGATCCACTTACACTGAACATAAAGCGTACGCACACCCTGCACACTCCCGCGCGCACACGCGCACACACGCACATGTTGCATCCGCCAGTTGGGGTGCCCCACAGGACCTTGATCCCCCAAGTGGCCACATCTTGCGATGCGCAAACAGACGGCGGGGGTCTTTGTACGTCGAGGCGGAGGAGGAAGTGGCGGATGAAGGACGTGATGAGCAGAATAATCAGAAGGACCATGCGGAAGGAGGGTGATGACCAGCAGAAACATCGGGAGCAGGAGGAGCAGGAGGAAAAGGAACAGGACGGAGGCGGAAACGACAAGGAAGGAGTCGTCTTGTAGGTCTCTTGGGGCCCGCTGGGTGGCCTTGGAGGCCTTGGGGCTTCCATTGAGCTCTCGTGGAGTCCGTGGGGGCCCTCCACGGAGCCATCCTGGAGCCCATCGATCCCACACGGGGGGCGTCCCAAACGAGCAGCCCGCGGAGCGCCCACGAGGCGGCCGCGGGCGGGCACCCGGCGAGGCCTCGGCACACCCACCCGGCGCACAGTGCGCCCACGAAGCGCCCACGAGCAGCTGCCAGCCCGGCGTTCTTTTCTCCAACCAGCTGGGCTGACCGGGGTGCTGTTGTGATGGAAGCCAGCTCCGGCCGAGGGAGCGTCTGTTTCCCTCCCCTTCCACATCCCGCTCCTCCCCGTCCTGCTCCTCCTCCCGCCCGTCCCCCTCGCTCCGCCCCCCCCCCCCCCTCGCAACCCTGGCTCTCTCCCGCCCGCCCCCAAACTTCCATCCCCATCTCATCCTCGCCGATGCGCCCCTCCCCCTGCGCCCTCCGTCCCACCCACTTCCCCCCGCCCCCCGCCCCTCGTGCCCCCCGAGTGCGCCCCCTCTCACCCCCTTCGCGGCCCGGCAGAGGCCGAGCTGGTCTACGAGCTGCGCGCCTCCACGAGCCGGCAGGCCTGCTTGTACGAGGAGCTCCAGAGCGAGCGCGGCTGCGCCGTGTCACGCGCCCAGCGGCTAGGCGCATGCCTGCGCCCCCTCGCGGCGTTCTCGAGGCTCTCTCGCGGGCGCCCGCGCCAACATCGGCCGTCCAAGCATCCTTGCTCTCAATCCCTGGCGCTGGGGCGCGACGGGCATGTGAGGGGCAGGAAGAGGGGGGGGACTGGGTCAGTCCCCCTTTGTCTCTGCCTTGACACTGCCAGGGGGGAACATTGACCCCCAATCGCCCATGCATCACCAACCAGGTCCTGGGCTCCCGACCCCGCCCAGGAACATGCGGTTTCGTTGTCGGGGGCCCATCGCCCAACTATCGGCGATGCTTCTTCCTCTGAATAGCCCCCCCCCATCTACCGTTCCCCGTCAGCACGCAACACTGTACACCCAAATCTCCGACGACGTTGTATTTCTGTCTGGGCGTATTTCCCAGGTTCGGCCTCTGGTTCCCATGGTCGGGCCCGGGGGCCATGACACAGGCGCATTTTTCCGGGACGATCACCCCCCCTGGAGCTGGTCGGGACCCCTTTGGGGACTAGCCTTTTCTCGGGCACCTTGGATTGGTGGCCTCGATGTATGATCAGCGATCGAGCGAGTTCTTCCACTTCGCCTCCACGTTTCAACTTTATCATGCCTCCTGTCTGTCCAACGGAACCACATAATACATCTTCTTCTACACCCTGAAGTACCATGCCTCGTATACTACGCTTGCACTGGCATCTTCTCCTACATTGAACCTGATTCCAATGATCGGAGGACCTTCCTATACACTCCTCATGACTCATGTGACCTCCTCTTCTGTCAAGTTCTATCTCGCCGCAGACCCATCCATGTTTGTCGGCGGTGCCGCCCAAAAAAGACCCTCGATGAGAGCACGTGAGTTTGGCGGAGTTATGTTTTGGTGACGGCGCCTTTGGTGAACCACTAAGTACCTTCGGTGCGCTATCGAGACGTGGCAATGGGCTGACATTTTTCGCATTGTTTGATATGGCGGTTGCGTCGTCAACAACCGCCCCAGGGAACCACTTACGTGGAATCTCAGCAAGTATGAGTGATTTGTTGCATACTCCGAAGCCCTGCAGCCTCGTACTTCACTCGCCGTTCCCCCCTCATGTCTACATAACCCTATACATTCGGGTCCCCCCTCACCCACAACGTTCTTCCACCCTCCTTCGCGCAATCTTTTCTATATGGAACCACTCTGGCACAAGCCATCTTGGCGCACGACCTTGGTTTGGTCCTGAGTGCTTGCATCGCTTCGCTCACTCCGCCGGACCATATGATTTCACTGTTGGAAAGTGAGATGGGTGAGGGGGTACGGCCACGAGGGATCACAGGAATGCGCGCGGAATCGCACCTCAATGCTCCATGGTGCCGAGCTTGCAGGATACATCAGTACATTCATCGATGGTGATGGTTTCCAAAACCACTCGCTCAGGCACGGCACGATTTGGTCCTCTGAATTTTGCAGCCCCGCAGCTTTGCAAAGGTGCCCTGGACCTTTGGGCGCCTTGGTGGCGTCCTCGGGTCTTATAAGAGGGCCGCCTCTGGGAGGCTGATTTGGGGCCGTCTTGGGAACGTCTTGCAGCAGCTTGCGCGGTCCAGGGGCGGTCTGTGATTGTTATTGGGAGAGTGAAGAGCGCGGGAGAGCCAAAACGTAAGCTCGCGTTCCTCGCCCATCTGGGCGCTGGTGGCGGGAGAGCGCCTCGCGATTTTCGCCGGCCAGCTTGTTCCGGAGTCCTGCCCGACAGCCGAGCCGACCTAAGCGGATCCAGCGTGCCGCGGGCACGGTGGCGCGGATCCTCCTCCTGCCGAGGGGTGGTGGCGGGGTCCATGAGCTCCACGAGTTCCACGAGCGATGCCGCGGATCCTCAGCCCGCCTGGGGATCCCTCCGCGAGCTCCTGGCTGGCTCCCCAGTGGAGGGCAGGTGGAGCTCCGATGCAGGTCGCCACCTCGTCGCCGCCCGGGACATCCTGCCCGGCGAGGTGGTGTTAAGGGCGCTTCCCTACGCGACCATCCCGGGGGTGCGCAGACGGGGGGGGGATTGGCCCAAGGTCAGGGTTGACGATTAGAAACAAACGTGTATGGGGGATTGTTGAAACCATCGGTTATCATACTTCCTTGGCCGATGTTGGAAGATTGGCCTCACGGCCAGTGCCACCGACCCTGAAGGCGGGACCTCCCTTGGGAAACCTGCTGGCGATCTACCTGGTCCACAGGAGCCCATTCGGAAAACCCTGGTCACGTCGCGGCGGTCGTCCTGTGGCGACCGCGGACGTCCCGTGGCGCTCGCAGGCTACTGAGGTGTTCAGAGGCATGTTGTTGTGCTCACCGGGACGCTGTGGCATTCGCGAGGTAAAGTGGTGTTTGCGTGCGTGCCGCGTGGTGCTCTCAGGGGCGCAGCGTTGTTCTTCTGTTGAGGGGCATTGGTGCGGCGGTCGGATCGCGGCGCTCGTAGCTGCCAGCGCCGTGGTGTATACAAGCAGTGGATGCGCACACGGGCGTTGGCGTGCGCAGGCATTGCGGGCCCAGATGCAGGGGGCCGTGCTTACGGCAAGAAAGAAAAAACACAAATTCGCCGGCCCAGCGGGCCAGAGGCGTGCTAAGATCTCCGGCAACTGCTTCACAATAATTCTACTTAGCACCCGCGGGGCGGTCCCTCGGGGTCCCCGGAAGAAAAATACCCCGCCAGAAGCCCGGGAGGAGTCACCAGAGCACTCCAGGGGAGGGCCATCTTTCAGCACCCCTCACGAGGATCGTGGCCTCCGAGGGGGGAGCCGCAATCGACTCCCCCCCCCTCCCGCCCAAAGAGGCCTCCAATCGCCCCCCAAGAGTCCCTGGGGGCTCCGAAGACGCCGCCAAGGAGTCCCAAGAGACTCCCAAGAGGGCCCCAAGAGGCAAACATCATTGTTTTTCCTTTTTGGTTTGGGGGAGATTTTGGCGTTTCCACCTCTTCGGCATCGCGACGCCCCAAGACGGCCCAAGAGGCCCCAAAGATCTCCCTCAGAGGCCCCAGAGGCTTCCGACAGGGCCCCACGAACCCAAGACGGCCCAAGAGGGTTCCAAGACGGCCCAAGAGGCCTCCAAGACGTCCCAAGAGGACCCCAAAAGCGCTCTAAGAGAAGCCCCAGAGGGGGAGCACGAAACAACATTTCGAGCCCTCGGCCCTAAGAAGTCCCCGGGAGGCGCCAAGAGGCCCCTTTGAAGCCCCAGGAGGCCCCCAAAAGGCCCTCGAGATAGCCCCCAGACGCCCCACGAGGCTTTCAAGAACACTCCCAAGAGGGCCCCAAGAGGCAACATTCATGTATTTGTTCAGGTTTTGGGGAGATGTTTTGCATCTCCACCTTTTCGGCATCGCGACGCCCCAAGACGGCCCAAGAGGCCCCAAAGATCTCCCTCAGAGGCCCCAGAGGCTTCCGACAGGGACCCACGACGGCCCGAGAGGGTTCCAAGACGGCCCAAGAGGCCTCCAAGACGGCCCAAGAGGCCTCCCAGAACACTCTAAGAGAAGCCCCAGAAGGGGGAACACGAAACAACATTCCGAGCCCTCGGCCCTAAGAAGTCCCCCGGAGGCGCCAAGAGGCCCCTTTGAAGCCCCAGGAGGCCCCCAAAAGGTCCTCGAGGTAGCCCCCAGACGCCCCACGAGGCTTTCAAGAACACTCCCAAGAGAGCCCCCAAAGGCAACATTCATTGTTTTTCTTCAGGTTTTGGGGAGATTTTGGCGTCTCATCCTTTTCGGCATCGCGACGCCCCAAGACGGCCCAAGAGGCCCCAAAGATCGCCCTCAGAGGCCCCAGAGGCTTCCGACAGGGTTCCAAGACGGCCCAAGAGGCCTCCAAGACGGCCCAAGAGGCCTCCAAGACTGCCCAAGAGGGTTCCAAGAACGCTCTAAGAGAAGCCCCAGAGGGGGGACACGAAACAACATTTCGACCCCTCGCCCCAAAAGGCCCTCGAGAGGCTCCCAAGAAGCTCCCAAGCGGCTCCCAAGCGGCTCCAGAAGGCCCCCCACATGTCCCCTCGACCACGCTAGCAAGTGCCAGCGATGCTACAATGTGGGCAGCGAGCACAGAGAAATTCTGGGAAGCTTCCGCACAGCGCTCCGTCTACCCTCCTCAGGCACTCCTCCTCCCCGTCCTCCTCCTCCTCCTCCCCGTCCTCCTCCTCCTCCTCCTCCTCCTCCTCCTCCTCCCCCTCCTCCTCCTCCTCCTCCTCCTCCTCCTCCCCCTCCTCCTCCTGCTCCTCCCCCTCCTCCTCTCCTTCTGGAACAGCCATCTTCGCGCCTCGTGCCCCTGGAGGCGCGCCCCTTTCGGCCCTCATCCTCGAGCCCCGCCTTGCGTCTGGATCCTCCTGGGGGCGCCTTGGGCCAGGGGGCCCTTCTTCGGCGGCGAACGAGGGAGGGGGGAAGTGAGAAAGAGAGAAGTCCTCCTCAAAGGCAGCGGGACTCAGAAGCCTTCGCGCCTTCTGAGAATGTTTATTGCGTCTTCGGGGAGGGCCTACAGAGCTTCTCAGAAGGCCCGGGGGCCTCCGAGCCTTTCGAGAAGGCATTCTCCTTCTCACTTCCCCCCCCCCTCGCTCGCCGCCAACTTCTGGCAACACCCGGACTCTCTGCCCGCATGCGCGCCGTCCACGCCCATCCGAACGGGAGGAGGAGGAGGAGGAGGAGGAGGAGGAGGAGGAGGAGGAGGAGGAGGAGGAGGAGGAGGAGGAGGGAGAGGAAAAGGAGGAGGAGGAGGAGCAGGAGGAGGAAAAAGAGGAGGAGGAGGAGAAAGAGAAGGAGGAGGAGGAGGAGGAGCTCCCCAGCCCTCCTCCCATGTCCTGCAAATGGCAGTGGTGGTCGAAAAAGGCCCATCATGTTCTGCTGCTGGCAAGCGTGAGGAGGACGGCACGGCGGGGGGGGGGGGAAGCATCGACCCAAGGCATCCCGGTATCTGTGTCTCTTCGCGCGCGTGTCCCTGGGCCCCTGTCGAAAAGGGGTCCGAAAGAGAAACGGCCGCCGAGGAGGGGAGG